TAACTGCTCTGCACTGGGATGATCTCTAGGTGTCTGCTTAAATTGAAAGTTACCATGTTTATTTATTCCCTGGTTTTGAAAGTCTGGGGTCAGGGAGCTCTTGGGATAGCTTGCATCTTTTTTTCTCCGTGGATGCTCAAGTACAGAAAAGTGGGTTCTCTTGAAGCCTTAAACAGCATTGTTTCCCCCCACTAACGGCTACATGGTATGGCACCATGGGTTGGGAAGCTTTTCTGTCTACCTTGTTTTTCAGTTTTCACTGGGGAATTCTAAGCTGGTGTGTTCTGTAGTTGGAGTATTTATATCCTGTTTTGAAATGCTGGAGGCAGAACATCTACTTGTTCTTACAGGCTGCTCTAAGGAGCACCGAAAGGTTGGTGGCTTTAGGGCCTCTGCAGCTATTTAGAAGGGTAATAATTGTCCTCCCTTCCTGTCTGCAGAAAATGGAGGTATTTCTGGAATTGCAGTTCAGTAACAAAAGGGCCACAGCTGTACTGTTTAATTGGCCTCCCTCTGGGGAGGAAAAGGCTGCGGCTTTGCTAATTTCTCATGACCAGTGCCAACTCGGTGCCTGGCACAGAGCACTGGGTCCTCAGAGTCTGTTGATCACCTGGATGGTCATCGTGATGGATGTAATGACATGTCATCATGGTGTCTCTGTCACGGTCCACTCATGGAACCTGCACCACAGCCCATAGTCTCATTCAAACTGTAGCTGCACTGACCTGGCTGAACAGTTCCTTACTTCTGTGTTGACGGGCCTGGGTTTGACTCTGCAGTTTTATCCAGGAACCAGAAGTCCATGTTATCATCCATGTGGATGCAGCATAGGCTTTGTGACCCATTCATTGTCCTCTCTGCCCTAGCCTTAATGTAGAGCTACAAAAATAGCTGCACTGTTGACAGGTTTTTGGTCACATCTGTTTCCCTCACAGATGTAGCCTGTGGTTTTCTGCTGCAGAGAGCCCATGTTATAATGTTCATTCCCTCCAATAGCTCATCAAAAAATAAACAAACAAAGCCTGTCTTTGCCACACACCCCAGCTCTGTTAAGGTGTCCATTGTCACAACAAACCTGGAGCCCAGTGGTCCCTCTCACATGTGATTAACCTGGTAGGTCATAAGCACCCTTGCAGAGTTAGTTCTTGTGGTCCTAGTCAGTTCTGGAAGCATTGGTTAAGTTACAAGAAAGGGACCAAAAAATTACCACACACTTCTTGGTCATGGCTGCCACGATCTATTGCTTAAACAGCCCTATTTTCCTATTTTCAGCCATTAGTTTTTATACCAGCAGCAAGATTCTGTTTAATATCCTCAGGAATATCTTCCACAAACCATTACCATTAATTTAATATTGATTGAGAGTGTGCCAAGTAAACTCCAAAACTCTCAAAACAAACTTGTCAAAAAAAGTAACTGTGTTCATCAGAAATGATTTCTCTTTAAATATGCCTTCTTCTACTCCCTCTGTGCTCATAGCATTGATAGATCCCCCCATCCGCCGCCACCTCAGTCCTAGAAACCATCCTAGGTACCTGCTGGGAAGTGTCAGAAGCAGGGCTTCCCAGATGGCTCAGCAGTTAGCACTGGCTGCTCTTCCAGAGGACCCAGGCTCCATTCCCAACACCCACATGGTGGCTAACAACTGTCTGCAACTCCATTTCCAGGGGATCCCTCACCCCCTTATGGGCTCCACAAACGCCAGTCATGAACCTGATATACAGACAGGCACACAGGCAAAACAACCATACACATACAAAATAAATTATGTATTTAAAAAAGTTACAGAAGCCCATGTCTGAGGTGTATTCAACTCATGGCATGACCAGGACCTGGGTACAAAGGCAGTTTGTGCTCAGAAGTGACCCCTGAACAGGAAGTTAAGAAACCTGACAGCTCATCAGTAGCATGGAGACAGGCCTTGGCCTCTTTTGCCAACCAAATAGGATATCTTGAGAGCAAATGGAGGTATTAGATGCGAAGGGCTTTAAGACCTTGGGAATAAAAGGATGGTACATACAAATGAAGCAATCTGTTTTCAAGGGAATATCCATTCCTGTGGTAGAAAAAAATGAAGCATGGAAAGAAATTCGAAGGGAAGGCCAGAAACCACTCCCAGACCAAGAGCATCTGTATCACCTGAGAAATTGGTAAAACTGTGACACTGGGCCACATCCCAGACCAACTGAAAAGCTGTCTCAGGAAATGGAGGCAGGCCTTTTTTTAAAACCAGTTTTCTAGCCAAGCAATAATGGCAGCCAAGGAGCATGCCTTTGATCTCAGCACTCCAGAGGCAGAGGCAGGCAGATCTACGGAGTTCCAAGAAGGCCAGGGCTACAGAGAAAAACCAAAAAATGAAAAAACAAAAACAAAAACAAAACTCAAAATCAAAACACCAGCTTCCCAGGTGATTCCAACACACACTGAAGTTGGAGAGCCTCTGGCCCAGCCTTTCTCTCTGATTCTAGCTTGGGTATCTTTCTGTTTTGCTGGCTGGTTATCAATGTGACTTTTGGCCCTTTTGCTTCATTGGAGTCAGCTTCCCTGCTCGAGGGAGAGGAAACTCTGTTTCCAGAGTTTGTAAGAGAAAGGAAAAAGCCTACACTGTCCATTATTTTTGACAGTTGGCCCTGGAGAGCTTGTTAAGATGGAGGTAGACTTGAGGTGCTGATGTGTTTGCCTCACCTCCTGCCCGGGGGCCTGCTGCCTCTCCAGCCAGTCCTTAAAAGGAGCAGTGGGTGCCACGCTTGTTCTTTCTGGTGCCAGATCTGCGTTATTTCACCTCCCTGGCGTCAAGTGGATGGGATGCTTAATGAGAGCCGTGACGTAGGCTCAGTAGACTTGAGAGAAAGCAGCCACAGTCTCCGCTTTCTGCTGCCTGGCTCTCCTCTTCAGGGTTCTCAGCCCTGAATTTTACCTCTGTGGGGAGGCCATGGTCACCCGATCCGTACTTCCTCCGTAGCCCAGATAAACCTGACTTGGAAGAAGATGCCAGTGGACACTGATAAATGACACAATGTGTGGCGGCGCGGCGGTACCTTTGTTTCCTATTCCCTTGACAATCCCCATCCAGGTTTAGCCCCCACTCTCATATGGAAAAATTTGCCATTTCTTGGTTTTTGTAAGGACAGTGCCATCTTTCTTTTCCTGTAATTCTTGTCCCTGAGGGCAGGACCAGGGCTGGAGTTAACTAGTGGTCAGATCTTACAAACTTGTATCTTGTTTTTAAATAGCTGAGGTTGGCTATAAGAAAACCAGTCATTGGGTGGCAGAACTCTGTCCTGGGAAACTTGGAGGAAGTCCCATAAGGGGTGGGCTTTTAGAGGAAAATAAGGAAACAAAACTACCATCCTTTCCCTGAGAAAGAACTGGTCCCCAGTAAAAGAAAACAGGCAGACATCGACATCATATCAAACATCTACTTCATTTATTCAGCATCTTCTCTGCACCGGCTGTTCTCCCCAGAGTCTGCTGAGTGCAGGTATACTTGGCACACTCTAGCTTTCTCAGCAGTCCCCTTCAAGCTTCATTTTGAAGATAAGGAAACTGAGGCTTTTAGCGGTTAATGTTGACCAAGGTGGATGGGTGGATGGATGGGAGGTCCAGGGTTAGCATTTAGTCTCTCAGAGCCCAAGGTGTGTTCTACTCTACCATGGTGCCTGGAATCAAAACTTGAACCTTTCTCATAGTATGGTCTCCGTTTTCCTTCCGCCCTCTTTGTTTCAAGGTTTCTGTGTAAGGTTCGTGTCCTCTCCCTGCCGGGCTCTCCTGCTTTGGTTCCTTCCAGTCCTGCATCTGGTTCCCCAGAGCTGTGTTCAGTGAAGACTGCTGCTTTAAAAGAGGGCTTCCTAAGAGGCAGATCTTTAAACAGAGCTGCAGGAAGAGTCCCAACCAGCTTTTGGTAGACACTAGAGGAATGGCTGACATGTGTTTCTCCTGCTCCATAGCTGGCTCTGAAATAGAGCAGGATGGCCACACCTGGACAGAGAGCTGGGAGGTGTCACCCTTATCTTATCTGAGAGAAGAGCTCCCCTTTCCCAGGAAAAGCTTGGTGCTATTGCTGGCGCTGCAGGCTTCCTGTGCCGGCTTCCGTTCTCTCTAGCCTGTAGGACTGCATCCCCCGATGGTCTACTTAATGGCTGTTGCCAATGAAGAAAAGCCCATGCTCTCAGTCCTCCTTGCCAGTTCTTTCTCCTGCTCAGGTCCCTTTGTAAGGACTGAGCCAGAACCCTGCCTGATTTTCACATCCTCAACCCCTGGTCAAACCCGTCTTGCTCTGTGTTGCATTCAGTGGGAGGCAATTGTGATTCTTCTCTTTTCTCTCTCCTTCCCTCCTCTCTCTGTCTCTCTGTCTCTCTCTCTGTCTCTCTCGGTGTCTTGGGGATCCTAGAGATTGAACCTAGGGTCTCATGTATGCTGAGAATGAACTCTAACAACTTACACCACTAGCCAAGAATTCACATTCTTGATCCGTCATTTCTTTGCAGTATCTGAACTCAAGAGCTCTGCCTGGACCTGTTCTATTCCAGTCCTATCTTTCAGGACTCTTGAGCCCCAGGGCCCATGTCACACTCCAAAGACATTGAGACTGGAGACTCCTGGAAGGCAGGATAAAAACCTGAATTTGGATCCTTCACTCTAACCCAGGACTCTAGCGCAGGCATGTCTCACATGTACAGGAATGTTTTTATGCCTTTCCAAACTTCTGCTGACCCATCACACTGACCACCCCCATCTCTTCATCCTGTCACATCTCTCCCTGGCCAGCTTCCTTTGGATACACTTTAGAGTTGACTCCACTACCCACTGCCCAATGACTCCTCCGCAGGAGCCTCTGAAGCCAGGAAGCCTCTTCCATAGGCAAAGGCAGCGCTCCCCTAGTTTCCCTGCACAGCCAGCAACTTGCCTTAGAGTCTAGGTTCAACTCTAACCAGAACACTTCACACACTGGCTCCAGAACCACCCAACTCCTCAAAGGGTTCTTCAGGCCAAAAAAAAAAAAAAAAAAAAAAAAAAGGGCAGGCATGCATCCCTCATCTGAGACTTATTAGAAAAGCAAACTTCCAGACTTTTCCTCAGACCCACTGAGTTCAATTTGCACTGCAGAGCAACATGAACGTGTGGGAAGCCTCTAACCTACCTGACCTGATTGAAAATTCACCTGAGTAGAGGGAATATATGGAACCAAGAGCCAGGAAGGAAGGCCAAGACAGGAACCCAAATTCCGGGCCTCTTGTGTAAAGATGAAGATGATGTGGGCTTTCCCTAGAGAATTATGTTAGATGCCCTGCCCTTGTAGAGAGGAAGAGGGGGGCCGCGTGGTGCCATCCAGATAAGGGCCTGGGAGCAATGGACACAGGCCATATCAAGAGAGGGGAGCAAAGATGGGGTGGGTCTCTTTAGGTTCCTACCCTCATCGTACCCAGGGCTGCTAGGCATCTACAGATGAGAACAGCACTTGCCATTCAGTCTTGAGTTGGATGCCTGAGTTTCCTCCCCCCACCCTCCTGCTGGCAGAGTCACCCTCGCCCACTGGCTAGATTACTGGGAGAAGATGCTCAGGAAATGTTTGTTGTATTGAAAGGAAGCCACAGCTTGTGCAGAGTCTGGATAATTCACCAGACGTGGGCCTCACGGGCGGGGCCTGGATGGAGGCAAGTGAAAGCAACACACCCTGATATCGTACTTAGCTGAGGTTGCTATTCCTTCATCTCTGTGTGCTTGTTCTTACATGGCCCTGGCAAGGGGAGATACAGAAGGAAGAGAGGTCAGGAAATGGCCCTGGGCCGCTGGGTCCATTCAGGGTGCTCATGATGTCTGATCTGGATCTAGAAGAGGCAGGCTCAGTACCTGTCAGTGAGCTCTCCCACTCTCCTGTGGCCATGGACAAGAGAAGCCTAGCCCAGTTCAGAGAAGAGGCCTCCTTTCCCCCAAGAAGCCTTGGGTCCTATCCTCCACTCCGACTTTGCTCCTGTCAGTCGAGAGCCCCAACCCACTTTCTCTGGGTCTCAGACAATTGTTGAAACCCAGGTTTGACCATTTTGGAAGAACAGGACAGTGAATCACTTGGATGAGGGCATGGGTATCAGAAAGGGGTTAGGCTGGCCACACCAGCTTTGAGACTGCCCACAGCTGAGGAGCCTGAAGGCTGTGTCTGGGGAGGGAGACCTGGCAATGAGGAAGGACAAGGAGCAGGGAGACCCACATTCTGGGGCACTACCAACTCCTGCTGTGTGGGAAAGGCCTATCCTAGATAGCAGCAGGGATAGCCAGGCCAGGGAAGCCAGGCCAGGGAAGCCATCCTTAGATAAGTGATCCCAGCCTGGCAAATACCCCAGGGGCCTTGCCTACTGGTCAAAAACCCACTTGTGTATTGAGATGTGCATGAGTGGCCTTTGTGTGGTGTCCCTTCATAACTGCTGGACCAATAAGGTACAAGTCACCAACAGCCAGACCCCTGCCACACAGGAGACTCTTGACTGAGTTCTCCCCTCCGTAGCCTGGCTCCCCAACTCCCATGAGCTTCACTCAGCATCTCCCTGCAGGGCCAGGACCCCCCACCCTGCCTCTTCTATTTGTACCTCTTGGCCTTTGGCCAATTCCTCTGAGGGGCCTGCTTGTCTGTGCCAGGTTCTGCCGGGCCCCAGCTTTACCAGCCCTGTCCTCTTTGGGCTTCGAGGCCTCTGATTCTCTCTGTGACTCGGCGCAAGTGTGGCCTTCCGGCCCGGGCTGGTGGTCATTCCACGGCTGGGTCTGCTGCTCAGAGCCACCTGGCCATGGCGCTGGACTTTGGGGACCCCCCATGCTTTTTTCGGGCTTGGGGCTGCTAGCTCCTCCCAGAGAGAGGTCAAGGGGAGCCAAGTCAGAAATTTGTGGGGAGTCTAGGGTCACACTGGCTGTAGAGGTTCCTGACTCCCCTTTTAGCCCCTCTGGGGAGGCCAGGGCTGGCCTGGTTGCAGGCATGGTCTCCTGTCTGCCTGGCTCCGTTTCACTCTCCTGCTCTGCACTGGGAGTCTTCGTGGCACTCTGGCTTCCCTGAAGCAAAAGAATAGCCCAGATGACTAGTAAATTTGGGGCTCCTGTCCCCAAACTGTCCTATCCTATGCCTAAGTACGCACCTCCTGGCTCTGCGGCTTCTCATCTTCTTTCATGTCATACCTGTAGAAACACAACCAGTGGCAGGTCTGTGCCAGGCTCCACCTTACTTCAAGTAACCCCGTTCATAACCACAAGCCCGTGTACCCCAGAGAGAAGTTAGGCCCAGTGGTTTCAGAGTGAGGCCAGAGATGCAGTGAGGCTCCAGGATGCGCCCCGCCCCCCCAGCCTGATCTTGCTTCTCAAACATAGCCCATGCCTCTGCACACTCATCCTGGATCCCCAGCTGCTGTTATTGCCAAGTCTGTCGAACCATGAGATCCACGGGGACTCCAGGCATGTCCCTGCATGCTCTGCCTGGGAAAGGCACACCTCACATCCCAGAGGAAGCAGGCTGTTGTAATTACCACAGTCTCTGGGCACCAGGCTCTCACAGCCACCACCCATGCTGGTGGCCTTTCTCGGTATCTCATTAACCTGGAGCAGGCAGCAAGAAGCCAGGAAACGGGGGCCCTGGGGATGAAGCAGAGGGACCTGGGCCAGTCCGGGGGGGGGGGGAAGGACACCTATGTGCCTGCCTTGATTTTGTCCCTTGCCACCTGTTACCTTCGGGCCCTGCCAGTCAGCCTCTCCTTCCCCTGGGCTTTGCTGCCTATGGTGGATGTCACCGAGGGTCTTCCAGATTGTCCACCCTGACCTGCAAGACACAGGGGACAGAGGGCTGTAGCAACTGCCTTTGCCAGCTGAAGCAACCCTGCCCTTTTTTCTCTCCCAACTCACGTTTTCCATCCACGGATAGTGGTGGGGGTTGTAGCTTCTGGGGGGTCCTAGGACCTAGAGGAAAATAAAGGGTATGGGGATGGGAATATGTCAAAGGATCTGAAACAGAAACAGCAGTTTTCTAGCCCTGAGAAGCTACCAGTGGTAATTAGGAATACTCCTACCTCCCCCAAAGCCTGAGCTACCTCCCCGGAAAAGCCTGGCCTGGCCTGTAGACCTGGACTATGTTTCCACTCCCCAGTTAGGTGACTTGGCTTGTCAACTCCCAGGTTCTGCGTATGAGGAAAGAAGGCGCCAGAAGTCCACAGGACTGTTCCCACAGCAGGCCAGAGAGGATGGCTCAGACTTTTACCCCACAAGGACCAGAATCTGGAAAGATCCAGGTTAGCTCCCACTGAATCCAGCTGTGGCTCAGAGGACACAAGAGAGATCAAATAGTGCAGGAGAGGAAGAAAGGGAAGGAAGATGTTTTTCCCATGTTCCCTTTCATCTTTGATGAGACAAAAAAGAGAGCAGAGGGACCAGCCTGGGCCAGCCTGGGCTGAGAATGTCCAAACAAATGAACGAACAAACAAGGCACTGGACATGAGGTGGATATTGGCTCACCCTTTCTGCCCGTGGTGGAGTCCTTGTCTCTAGGCTTGTTGCGATCCTGTGTCCTGTGTTAGACAGAGGATGGCATTAGGTCACTTGTGGCAATGTAGACAGAGGCTCCCTCAGAGCTCAGTGCACAAAGGTGATAGACACAAGAAAGAGGGGACACACAGAACCCTGGCCCAAGGTCCGACCAGAGGTCCAGGGCAGGGTCTCTCCCTCCAAGAAGCACCCACAGTTAGCCCTACCCGGGTCCCACAATCACAATGGCTCAGCAAGCTGCTTGGCCATGCCACCCACATGGGCTTGGGCTTGGCCTTGTCCAGGTCCCACGGGCGGCTCCAGTCACCCTGTGCATTTCTGTGCCGGGCAAGGCGGGCCAGGTCAATCTTCTCTCGCTCCTGTTTCCACTGCATATAGTCCCAGCTGGCCTCTGGGGGCGGTCCCGGGGGCTGTTGGGAAGGTGGGCCTGGGGCTGTACCTGGACTCCGGAGGTCCAGAACACCCTGCAAGGGAAAGACCCTTAGACTTGTGGGGGAGATATAGGGAGAGGGTTCAAGTGGAGCTCCAGGGAGTCTGCTAAACCTTCCTCTCTCAAGCTCTCCACATCCCAGTGTATAATTAGGTTTGTCTCATCTCCAGCACACAGTGCTTGCTATGGACTGTTTGCATCCAAACACTTATTAGCTGTCAGTTTGAGACCAGTAATTTAACCTCTGTGTGCATCATTTCCTTATCTGTAAAAAGAGGTATCATCTCCTTTCTCAGTTGTTGATGTAGGTAGACTGGCCCTAGATAGGAAGGGCACCCACAGGCCGAGCAAGATCAAGAGCAATTACAAGGGGCTGCTGCCACCTAGAGGCCACAGCTGGCACACAGCCAGTCGCCTACACATGGCTCTGACACCTTTTGGGGTTGAGTCATGGGTCTCATCACTGCTGGATGGTATCTCTGGCTGAAACCATTTCTCACAGCAAAGCACATCCAAAGTGGATATAAGCCAGAGAAGGAGAAAGCATCTGAATTCTCAAAGGTGGTGCCTAGGTAAGGTTCCCCCAGATAAGGGCCACGTGTGTGTCTCAGTTCCTCTGCCTTCTCCAAATGGGGATTGCCGATTTGTGTCCCTACCCCTTCTTGAAGACTTACCTTCCCTGCTGAATCTGGGCTGGAAGTCATCTGCAGGGGTGAACTCTGGCCCTGGCCTCCTCCAGATGTCCCCTTTGCCCTTGGGTTCCTTGCTTGGGTGGTGGGTTTTTCACTTACCATCCGTTTGGCCTGCAGAAGGTGTAGATGGGCGTCATGGCTGAGCCAAGGGATAGGAGACTTTCCACCCGGGGTCCGGAAACTCCAACTGCTCACCCTGGCTTTGTTTTCCATGGTCACGGCTAGTTCCACCCGGTCCCCCATGCAGAAAGTGCCCGTCGAGTCTGCAGCATCGTCATAATCTGTCAGTGCATCAGCCATTCCCCGTGAAGGGGGCACCCTGGCCCAGTTTCTGCTGACCACCCTCTTCTCCTGCAGAATGAGACACCTGTGTCTTCAGGCCACATGGCTAGTCCTAAGCAGGACCAGGTGCTGGATGCTGGGTGCTGGGTGCTGGGTGCTGGGCAGGGAGTTCCTAGGTTTGGGTTTTAGCCCTAGTCCTCTCTGGAATGCCCATGGAGAAGCCTTTCAAGAATCCACATGCCAGTGGCATGAGTTATTCAGAGCCAACCCAGGGGCCCAAGATGCCATAAGGGCTTGTCATCTCTGAGCTGAGAAACCCAGAGCACACAGACAATACAGCCTTATCTCAAAGACACTGTTTCTTTGCGTTCAGCACAGGCTTCTCTACCCTCTGCTCCCTGCAGGTTTCAGCCTCAGGGGCTGGGGTTGTGCCTTAGGGCATATGTATGTGCAGGGCCACGGGACTGGAAAAGACTGTAAAACGGTTTCTGTTTGGTGGCCTTTCATCTGCAGCCCTCAGGGGAGGAAAGCAATACTTGGTTGTTGAGGAGGTCTGTTGCTGGGGGAAGGGGGCACCCAGAAAGGCACACAGGAGGAAGTGGGGTAGTTGTAACACTCTAGGCATGGACCAGGCCTCAATTTTGCCTGTCTCCAGGGTGAGACTTACACCAGGAACCTGGCTGATGGTGACTGTGAGACAGTCGGGTTGGAAGAGCCCTGATGTGGTCACAGCCATGCCCCCCTGCTCTGCCTGGCGACGATCTTCTTCGATCTCCTGTGGGAGGGCCTGGAGTCAGCAAGGCCATGGCCCCCCAGGCTCACAGACACACAGACACTGACAGGCCTACACAGAGAAACACCAATGGGACAGACACCAGGGGGCAGAGGCACCACATCACTAGTGCCCAAGACTCTGACCACAGCTCTGAGAGAGACTGTCCACCCAAACACTGAGCCAGAGCCTAGAGACATGGTCTAGAGCCCTCAGACAGAACCCACCATACAAACGGGCTTTTGAGGGCACCCAGGGACAGGAGCCTTCTCAGCCGCTACAGCCCACTCACCTGGTACCTGCGCAGTAAAGCCTGGTTCTTCTTGCGCAGGGCAACTATCCTACGGTCCAACTCGGCATCTTTTTCCTCATGCCTGCGCATTGTGGACTCGGCTCTGTGAGGCCCCTACAGAAGACAAGGAACCCAAGCTTACCAATGACCTAACTTGCATATTCCCACTCAAGGAACAGGCCATATCCCTAAGTTAAGGCACAAGGAAGGTGAAGGGGGTTCCTTAGGAAGATGGCCTATAGAAGGCTCCAAGCCCCATTCCAAAGGGGTCTGTCTTCCTCAGGGGGGCTCAGGTTAGGGCTTCATACCCAGGGCGTTTGCTCCCAGCAGCAGGCTGCCCCTCCTCCCCCTGGCTCTCCAGGGAGTTCTACTGTGAGCACAGCCTGGAATGGGAGTTAAAAATGGCTCTGGCAGCAGAACCCGCCGTGACTGGGAAGCTGCCAGGGGATTCAGGAGGTCGAGGGTGCGGAGGGGAACTCTTTGCCTCCCAAATCTAGAACCACATACACACATAACACAGGCCTCAGCTTGGTTCTGGCCTCCCAGGCACTGGACCCCACACCCTAGGCCTGTGCCCAGTCTGTAGGAGAGAGCTGCTTCCACAGGCTCAGCCAACCCTCCAGCTCTGAGCTGCTGGCAGGGGAGCAGCAGGTCATAGCAGCTCCTGCTGGGAGCTACTCTAGGCAAACTATATCTCTGCATCAAGACTGGAGGTCCTTCTCTGTCTGGCTGCAGTCTGTGTTTGCCCAGTGACTTGCCCAGTCCACCACCTGCCTCATCATGGCCTTCTTCCTCCCAGGCCCAGCTGTCACCAGCTGTCTCCAGAATGTGGCTGCTTAGTAGTTCAGCCCCCTCCCATCCTCTAGAAACCCTCTGCCCAAGAAGAGGTGCCACTCACAGCCAAATGCATGGAAATAGCAGGCACTAAGAGAATTCCAAAGCAGCCCCCGGCCAGAGCTGTAGGCAAGCTGGAACCACCAGAGCTGGGCCTGTTGGCCTCTCCCTGCCGGCTTCAGCTTCTCCGCTCAGCTCAGCACAAGAGATCATGTTGTGATTACAAAAGAGTGCTCTGGGCTCCCAGCCAGGAACGCCTGGCCGCCACCCCCACCCTTCCACTCTCAGAGGACCAGAGCACCAGCAGCCAGCTAGTCTTGTCCAATACCTTTCCCTGACCTGCCTCAGTGTCCCCACACAGGAAGCCTAGGCACCTGTGTGCCTAGGGCCCACCTTCAACTGTAGTCCTTAGCTCCAGCAAGACCCTGCCTGTATTTGCCTGCAAACAGAATGGGTGGACAGCAAAGGCCTCCATACCCCCTACCCCCTAGTATAAAATGGCAAGGGATGCAGACTCCACCCCCTGAGGGCCACACCTCTGCTTTCCTGCTGGCTGTCTAGTCAGCATAGGTTTAAGTCTTTCAGTGAGAGTGAGAAACCCTCCTCCCAAGGCCTCAAATGTCACTCTCCATCATTTGTTCCCTGAGGTAGAATATGGTTTTCTCTGTACTCCAAGCATAGCCACTCCTGGAGGTCTAACTCTCTGGGTCTCCAGCCCCTTTACTATGCTGAGATGGGCATTTCTCTGGGGTCCTTAACATTTCCACTCAGAGCAGTCAAGAGCCTTCTTCCTTCGGGATCCTCTCACGGGGCCCTTCTCTGCCTTACAGTCCAGGGATGATCTTTCCAGACCCGCTGGCCCCAAGAAAGGACACGGGCCCCTTCCCCGGTAGTCTTCACACAGCTTAGGGCAGTCTCTCAGCCCAGGGGTGCCTAGGTCGGCTTCAGTCCTTATGAGGTCCTGTCTTCCAGGCCTTGAAATGAGGATCACAAACCCTGGCATTCCCTGTGTCCCCAACAGCTCCTTCCTCTCACCACGGCCTACCTTCTCTATATTCTCTTGCCACTATCCTCAGCCCCTTTGCTATCCAGGCTTTCACCCCTGGCCCCACACCCCATCTCTGCAGCTCCAGAGTTCCCATCCTGCTTGCAAATGCCACCGTGTACCCTCCTCCCTTCCTGCCGGATGTTCCCACTGAGTCAGACTCTGTACTTTCCCAGCAACAGTGACGCACCCAAGCTCCTAGATCTCTCTCTCTCTGGCTCCCTCCCCCCCCCCTTTGTCTACACACACACACACACACACACACACACACACACACATGCCAGCACACATCTCTCCCTTTCTCCCACCTTTTCTGTTCTCTGCACCCTGCCCCACAAATACTGCTGAGTTCGGCCATACCCCTCAGGTCTCTAGAAGTTGCAAGCTTCCCATTATACCTGCCCCTGCTATGCTTCATTCAGCATGGGAGCCCCCAGAGCCCAGTCCTAGAAAGAGACCTAATGCTGTCCACCCTCTTTGCAATTTTAGCCCCTTGATCAGGTTTAGGGAGACAGGATGTGGATAGGCTACAGAGATAAGGCAAGGTTTTTATCTCTCTCAGCTCCCACTCCTGGCCAGGGTCAGGAGGCCCAGGCAGAAATGAGGCTACCCTAAAGAGAGGATGACCCAGACCTCTGGAAGGATCGCAGGAAGATATCCTGAATGTAGAAACAAAATTTTCCCAGCTATTAGGCTGAAGGGCCATGTGCCCTGATCACAGTTGCTGACCACAAACTTCCAAGCATCACTCACACAGCTTGTCACGCCCTTGAGCAGCCCCCATTTCCTCCACATCCCAGCATTTGCCTGTCTGTTTTCACACTGGACTGCAGCTAAGAGCAGGGAATGGTATGACAGGTGCCCTGAGATTCCCCAGGGCCTGGGCCAGCAAGCCCATGCCCAAGAACCTCACTGCCTGCACGGTGAGTATGGAAATAGCCAGCACTACACCATGTGTCACTGCAGATACCCCGTGTACAGGCTGTGATTGCCTTTCTGTCCACTCAGCAAGCACACAAGCTGAAGAGGGCAGGTGATAGGAGGGTTTCCAGCCTGGTCTTCCCAAACGTGGATTTTTTTACCCTGAGTCACCACTAGGGGGCAGAAGCATGCCAGAAGCTTGGCTATGGGTGGGGGAGGGGCCACCCCTGTTTCTCACTATCATATCCTAGGTCTAGCTCTACCCCACCTCCCAGCTTCATCAGAAGAGACCGACTATCCTATGGTAGAAGGGTTATTTTACTGAGAAAGAAATAGAACCAGAGAGATGTCGCCTCTTGGGATGCCATAACTGTTAGTGCTGCAGACAGTACAAAAAGCCAGGGCGGTGGCTTTGCTGTCCCGGGCAGGCCTCCTTGCCTCTTTTCACAGCTGCCCCACAAAAGCTAATTTGACTGAGACTTCTCTCTGTACTCTCCCTTCCTCCCACTAGGCTTGGGTGGGGTGACCTTACTTGGTAAGAGCAATGGCTCTTCTGTGGTGGCTCCCTACCTTCCCAGGCCACCTGCCAACTCAGGTGGCAGCCACACCTTCAGGGCCTACATTATATAAACCTTATTGGTGACATCTGGAAAAATACAGCCAACTAAAAGAACAAGATGGCTGTAAGTCCGAGCTTCTCTCTGGGAGAAACAGAGAGATCTGCCCAGGAGAAAAGGCCTAAGAAGTCCACCATGGAGGCAATGACTCTCAGGCCCTCCTCCCCACTTCCAAGTGGCTGCCCCGTGGACATCTGGCTCGCCAAGTACAGTATGTGGGCCCTTGCCCTACTCCTCCGCCTTGGTCTAGGAAGACACAGACGAGATGGCGGGTTCTGGTCTCCTCCCTCCTTACCGACAGTGCCCCTTATCTCTCCACTTCTAGAAAACAATATGGCTATCCCTCAGTGAGTCATACGATGATAGCATCCACATACCTAGCAACATTCATATTTGGACCAATGTGTAGCTCAGAGGAAGGTTCAAACAGTTTTCTTCTTGCCTCAGGTAACTTCATGGTAGTGATCACCATGGTCTTTAAGGAGTACTCAAGGTTGCCTTGCCCTGTCCTAGGGACCTGAGCACAGGGCTATTATCTAAGGCATTTGTAGAGTACTAGGGATGCCCTGAGGGGCCCCTTTAGCATCCTCTCTGAACCTCTTTTCCTGTCTCCTGCCCAACAGATCAAAGCCAGGCTTCTCCACCCCCCACCCCCACCCCCACTGGGAAGTCTGCCTCCCTTTCCAGACCCCAGACTGTGCCTTCTGGCCACACCAGCGCAGGAGCTTCTGGAAGCAGATCCTGTCTTCAATCTGCCTGCAGATCCCAGCTGGCTGTTTGAGGCTCCCATCCCTGAATTCAGGAAAGGCTCTTCTTCGTTGGGGCTGAGTCTTTTGGGGTCACTGGTAGGGAAATGTCGAAGAAGACAACAGGCAAGGGCAGGCTTCATAAGGCCCAGCTACTAGATAGGCTACCCTCCAGATGGAAGCACATTCCTTTTCAGCATTAACCCCCCTCCCCCCACACACACACTGTGGACATTCCTGTCTCGTGGAATGCTGTCCTGACTCCTAGTCTGGAGTGGAGACCTCAGAGTACCAGAAGTGGAACTGGAGGGACCAGTCCTGCCCAGGCTCCAAGTTCTGGGCCCCACCTTACCCAAAGCACACATGCCACAGCAGGGAGGCTTCTGGAGGAAGCAGGTGACCTGCCCGAGACTCTCCATTTTCCAACACCCAGGCTGCAATGCCCATTCTAAGGATACACCCAGTCTGTGTGTTCCTCAGCCCCAATCCTAACCGTGGGAGGTGAACCCCGAGGTAGGACTGAACTCCTGGGGTCTCCTTGGGTTGGGGCTTTGTTCTTCATGATGGATTCAGACTCACGGTTTTTCCTCCGAACCCTGCATTCTCTACCTATTGCCACCCTTGGAAGAGGCTGAATGTTGCCTTCGTCAGGGCCTGCCCATCACATCCTATTGGCAGGACCTCTACTAAGGGTTTCACCTAGCCCACATAAGCAAGAAGAGGGGGGAAGAGGCAGAGAAATGGTGGTGAACTTCTCTCTCTCTCTCTCTCTCTCTCTCTCTGTGTGTGTGTGTGTGTGTGTGTGTGTGTGTGTGTGTGTGTGTGTGTGTGTGTGTCTATGTAGCCTTTCTGGAACTTGCTCTGTAGACCAGGTTGGCCTCAAACTCAGAGATCTGCCTGCCTCTGCCTCTGCCTCCCCAGTGCTGTGATTAAAGGCGTGTGAGTTAGCCTTTACTAACAAGAGGATGTCAAATTAGGAAGGTAGCAGCCAGCCTGGGGAGGTCATTGAGGGCAGCCTGAGAGATGAAAAAGTCAGGGAACTCACTGTAGTTTCCAAGGCAGGGCTGGTAAGGCCACGTGACAGTCTAGGGAGCTGAAGCTGGAAGGTCTAAAAGGGGTCAGCTGAGGCAACTGGGATGGGCATCCCAAGGCAGTATCCAGACACCAGGAAGTGGTGCCTCAGGCTGGGGTGTGGGCCAGGCCACACCTGGTGGGGACAGAGGGGTCTGGCACAGTTTTGAAGGGTGACAAGGACAGAAGCTTGTCCATGAGCAGCAGGCTGAAGATGGGTAGGAGCTGGTCAGGTGCTGTGGGGGTGGAGACTAGATAGCATAGTGGAAACCTTCACTGGACTTGAGGCTTTCGAGCAGGAGAGAGCAACCAGGTGCAAAAACGTACATGTCAAAGGGTAAGGCTTGGGAGGATCCTGTGGTCACAAGGCTAGCTGCTGAGAAAAAGTTAGCAACCTGAAGGATGGAGAGAGGGACAGGGTGCTTAGTTGTCTCTGTTTGCCCATATCTGTCCCTGTTTTAGAACAGGGTCCTCTGCTAGGAACATATATATATATATGTTCATCACACTGAATGTTCTAACAAAGGAGATGGGAACAGCAAGGCGTCTCTCAGGAGCAACCATACAATGTTCTGAAGGATGCAAAAGCCAAAGGTGATGATGTGTGTCAGTATCCAGGCATTTGTACTGACCTGCCCTTGGGATTCTGACAGGATGTGCCTTCAGCTGCTGCCACAAGAGTACCACCTGCGTCTATCCACTATGCTCCCCTTTAAAGGGGCCCTGCCCACCTCCCGTCTTTCTTTCTCCCCCTCTCTCTGTCTTTCCCCAGAGGCCGGTCTTCCTACTCCCCTTTCCCCTTTTTACAATCCGTTTTCCCTAGTTTTAAAAAAAAAAAAAAAAAACCCTCCAATTGAACTCTGTTGCATGGTGTCTTTCTCTCTCCAGCCTCGT